GTACGCCAGCATGAATTTTTCTGCGTGTGGAGTATGTGTTGTTATGGCGAATGATAAATACCTGTCGTAAAGATAAGAACTGATGAAGTGTATGACGTAGTTCGAAAAACCCAGTACGGTTAATTTGTTGGTGAGCCCTTTCACCCATACACGATCAAAGGCTTTTGAGATATCGAGAACTAATGCTCCAGTGATGAGTCGATTTTGCAGGCCTTGCTAGGGTAAATTCCGTAACATGATACAGTTGGTGGTTGGATGTATGTTGTTTTTTCGAAATCCATGCTTTTGTGAAATAAGAATGTTGTTATCATCAATAAAATTGTTGTTTCTTTGAAGTGTTACAGCTTCGACGATCTTACTCAATACTGATAGCAAACTTATTGGCCGGTATGACGCAGGGTCATTTAGATCCTTTCCTAATGTTGGGATTGGAGAGATGATAATTGTTTTCTAATTGGCTGGAAAGTGCTGAATATTGGTCTTAAAATTTATGATGTTGGTAAACTTAAAAAGCATCTTGGTTTCCATTTCTTTCATCATCTTATTACTAATATTATCCAATACGGTTTTTTCTCAGTTTTTCCTTTCTTGATATATCTCATTGTTGAAGGAATGTGCATTTTATTTATTTGTTATCTAAGAATTGATACTCTTGTGGTACGCCAGCATGAACGTTTCTGCGTGTAGAGTATGTGTTGTTATGGCGAATGATAAATACCTGTCGTAAAGATAAGAAACTGATGAAGTGTATGACGTAGTTCGAGAAACCCAGTACGGTTAAGTTGTTGGCGAGCCCTTTCGCCCATACACGGTCAAAGGCTTTTGAGATATCGAGAACTAATGCTCCAGTGATGAGTCGATTTTGCAGGCCTTGCTAGGGTAAATTCCGTAACATGATACAGTTGGTGGTTGGATGTATGTTGTTTGTTCAAAAGCGTTGCTTTTGTGAAATGAGAATGTTGTTATCATCAATAAAATTGTTGTTTCTTTGAAGTGTTACAGCTTCGACGATCTTACTCAATGCTGATAGCAAGCTTATTGGCCGGTATGACGCAGAAAAGGGAATTTAGAGTCATTTAGATCCTTTCCGGAAAGGGTCATTTAGATCCTTTCCTAATGTTGGGATTGGAAAGATGATAGTTGTTTTCTAATTGGTTGGAAAGTGGTCTTAAAATTTATGATGTTGGTAAACTTAAAAAGCATCTTGGTTTCCATTTCTTTCTTCATTTTATTACTAATATTATCCAATACGGTTTTTTCTCAGTTTTTCCTTTCTTGATATATCTCATTGTTGAAGGAATGTGCATTTTATTTATTTGTTATCTAAACGCAGTTAACTGGCGATAAGAAAATATTAGAATAAATCTTACCTTAGTAAAAGGTAATCGAAACTGTGAACATGAGAAATAAAATTCGAATGTTGAGATATGTTTATTATTAGTTGTAAGATAGTAAAAAATATTGCGCGGCGATGCAAACGTTATGAACTCTCCATAGCAAAATGTAAAAAGTTGCATAATAGAAAATTTCTTTAATATCAAATTTACTTTTCAGTTAAGGGAGGTGAAGGTAACGTCGGATAAGAGGCTTCCTCGCTTTAGTTTCCTATGGCGATTCTACTCTCATAAGCTCTGATAGCACTACTAATGGAATGTTGTTTGTGTTTGTTCTTGGAAAGAATCATAAGCTGAGTGGCGCGTAAGTATTCTGTTTGTGGGTGTGAAATGTTGTTTATGCAAGATTGCGATGCGTAGTTATCAGATGTGTTTTTGCATTTTGGTTGTATGCAATCCTATTACAGCCATTAAGGAGATGAATAATATTGTCGCACCTTTATACTTAGAAACAGCATTCCAGATAGAATTATGATCTTGAAAAAGTGATTCTAAGTATCTGTCCCAATCAAATTGTGATTGGAGTTTGACATGTTGGTTCAGTCTGTTCACAAGTCTTTTGTCCATGGGGCAGCGAAATCTGGCAGTTCCTGCGTGTGTGGATCCGATGCTTGATAAGTTCTGTGATAATCGGGCTCTTATACCACTTGCTTCATTAACTTCTTTGCCATTTTTAAAGAGGGCAGTATGCAAATCATTCGTGAACTTGTTTAAATCATCTAATTCATTCCTTGTATGTGCTGTTGACATAACTTGCCCAATTTGTGATAATTGCCATTTTATGTTGTGTACTGTAGTTACTAACGCTAAGTTCAACTATGAGCGGGCTGTGGTCAGATGATAACTCATTCATGCTTCTTGTATAAAGCGGAGCTTTGATATATCTAGACGCAGATTACGATCACGATTATAGAATTATGACCAATAAATGCACGAAAGCTGAGATCAATCAGGTCACAACAGAACTAGCTATTATCATTATATCAGAAAGAACAGTTCTGTGAATTTAAAATTAAAATGACTTTCGCGGACGATTAAAGAGTTATGCATTGTCGGAATGGCGACATTACAATGTTTTAAAGATTGGATATAAAAATTTGTAGGCGTAATTTGGTATTAGATGGAGTAGTTATATTTTTGTGGTAAAATTTGTTAATATTATCAGGAAATGCATTTATTTAGACGAACTTAGTTCTTTTTTATATTTCAACAACTATTATTAAATAACATTCAGTAAAGTACGGAAAGATGACACAGTATGGAATAGAATGAAACAAGAAACTTTACTACAAGTATTTCAGAGACCGACTATATAAAACTATTCATTTCTTTTGACGATGAATAAGCTAGTGTATTTGGCAACACCAATTTTAGAAGGTGCATCTTTTCTTCAGGGTACAATACATAATATTTTATATCTAAATATAAGCACAACACGTCATTCTGAGAAGCTATTTAATTATAGTTAAGATGAGTGTATACAACAAGTAAATGGATCTACAATATTCAACCAAATGCAATACATATATTTAAGATGATATTATCCTCGTATTATTTTAGGTGTATAACAACTAGACTGACTGAAAATATTTGGCGGATGAATTATTGGTAAATAATAATGCAAAAACAACTGCATATTCACTATATATTTTTCAGTTTAGTCCATATATCATTTTTGAAAAGGTTATTTAGCTATAAGTAAATATGCACTTTTCTGAAAACAGACTAAACAAACATGGTGGAGTTATATCAGTTCCTTCTTCCTGGAAATAACTTTTTTGGTATTGTGGACTACAAACCATTGGTATTCAGTGTAACTTTTCTTTGGATTGGATTGGACTATACAAACATGGTGAAGTTATGTCAGTGGAAATAACGTTTTTGGTATTTGTGGGTTTTGGCGATCCCACCATAAAAGGGAATTGACGCATTTTAACCTTAATAAAAAAACATAATGATTCACATAAGCATTTTATTCAATGTCTGCAGCACACAATTTATGTGATAAGCATAAACAGTTTAATAAAAATTTATTACTTTATTTAATTATTTGTTGTTTTATTTAATTTAATTTTGTAAAGAATCCACTCAAAATAAGCAATGTGTAAAAAAGCATGGGCAGACACTTATGTGCGGCATACAATAGACTCGTATAGAAACATACAAGAGATAAAACAACATATATAAAATATGCAACCTATAGACCAATAAATATGCTACAAACAACATATAGAAGCACATTCGAAATACAACTTTCTGTTGACTAATTCAGAAAGAAGTCAAACAACAAAAATCAGCGTTATATTTACAAAATTTTCACAGGACTAGTTTCGATGGTTTTACCGAACCACCATCCATCGAAACTAGTCCTGTGAAAATTTTGTAAATATAACGCTGATTTTTGTTGTTTGACTTCTGAATTAGTATTTATTCGGCGTGTTATTGCGTCTTAATTTCTGTTGACTATAAGATGGTTTCTTGTACCAATGGTATCAAACTCAAATGACGTACGGGCCGCATGTAATATCTGAAAACAGCGGACGGTCTATTTTTTTTTAATAAAATGAAAAATGTTTCAAATAATTTCTAAATTTTCTTACTAAATTTTATCAAAATATACGTAAACAATATAGCAAAGGGAAAAATTCAAATTTATACTTATTTTCTGTTTGAAATCTAAAGTACCTGCATTACATTTTTATTGGTTACACAATATACTGATTACTAAACATTAAACGTTCAGACCGCATTTATTTCAATTAACTTTAGCATGTTTAATTAATCATTAGACAATTTGATTAAATTTAAACTAAAAACAAACAAATTATGCAAAATTTCAAAGTTTTGAGAGAACGTTTTCCAAGTGGAACAAAACTGGAGAATAAATGATGGCAATTTTTTCTCTTGTTCTTATTTATAAAATGTTTCTTAGACACATAAATAAAAACGCATAAGTTTCTATTTAAGCAATTATAAACTTATTTATTTCGTACTACATCTTGACTCTTGATTGCGTTTCTATTTTGCTAAAGTTTGTAGAAGAATATAGAGAATTAAAGTATAAACTAGAGTAGTAAAAAAAATTTTTAGCGTTTTAACATAATGCGGTCCGAGCAAAAAATATGAGCTTTTAAAATTCTCGAAACCTGAAATGCTTGAAATTAAGTAAAATATATTTGCAAAATCCGGAATCCTGTGTGATGTATCTCCCATATTACTTTTGAAAGTTAATGAAAGATTTTAACCAATTTTTTTTTAAAAATTCAAGCTCAGTTCATAAATAATATGCCATACATTTAATCCGAGCATTAAACCCATATACTTACATATCCGTAATTATTTTACATAATGCGCAGTTATTCATAACGCATTTTTTCATGAACTTCAATTACTCGTCATTCATTTGCCGTTTATTGATCATCATAATAGTTTAAAATTACCTTAATAATTAAAAACTAATATAATAAATTATAAGTCCCTTATAAGGGACATTAATAAATACCTGAATATTAAGAAATAAGGCATAATGCAAACGAAATGTGAATCCTATTAAAAAGGATAATTTAAATTATTTCTGTTTCTTTCTACTTGTGGCGGTAATGAAAGGTGGTCAAGCTAAAGCAAGTGGACCATACGCTCAATGAGAAAAGGATATTACAAGCCGTTGATTTCCCCTTCATGGTCAATCTGGTATATCATTTCAAAGTAAGTTCATTTCCTGTTCTTAATGTTTTTGGAATGCAAATGATTTTTTGTAAAATTTGAAGTCGAAGCTCTTAACTTGGGTACTGTGTTCAGTTTTATTCATTCAATGCTCGATGGATTTATTCAATGCCAGTAATTTCTATCGTTGGAATACCTAGTTTTGCTTGTGTTTATTACATTTTGCTTGCACACACAGAGGGTGTTAACACATTTTTAGAGCAACTTCGGGGCCGTTCTCTTAATGTTTAAAATGTAAAGAGTGCGTTTTAAATATTCGATCTGAAAACCGTTTTGGGGGGCTATATTAAGTCAGCACCGTAATTCTATGATAGACAAGTGTTTCGTAAAATTTCCAAGGGTAGCTTAGAAAGAGCTCTTCAAGAAACCAAAGCCACAAAAGTCCATAGACGAAACATCTGGGGGTTTCGCAGGAATACGTTGAAAACGTATTTATTCAATGTATCAGTCTTTATCTTTTGAAGGAATGCAGTAGTACTTTTTCGAAGTATGACTTGTTGTTTTGTCTTCATTATTAAGTCTCATTCTTTGAAAGTCATTGGGATAAAGAATTAGAATTTCTTTTGTAAATATTAGATGTAAAAATTTTTCATGATAGTACGTTGAGCTGGTTTTAATATTTTTCCCGCTTCTTATTTTTAATTTCTAACTGTAAGAGAATCCGGTGACAGTCATACACCCCATACTGAAACTTTCTTTGTATTAATGGAACGAGGTTTGCACATTGCTTCTTTCTACGAAGTAAGGGAACATTGTAATCGTGAAAACTTTCAGGTATCATATTTCAACGGAAGAGACTAATTCTGCGTGACGTCTCTACTTTATATGTATCAGTCTTTATCTTTTGAATCAATAAATAATAAATACAAAATAAATTATTCCTTTTCCCAAAAGCATTGTAAAATGGATTGTTTCGTAACGTCTGCACGTATATGCGTGCGTACGTATCTCGCATAACTCAAAAACGATTAGCCTTGGAACGTTGAAATTTTGCATATGGAACTGCTATAACATCTATTGCGCATCGGTCTTTCTTCTTGTAATCGGCAGTACCAAACGTATATATACGTTATATTATACGTATATATACGTTATATTATACGTATATATACGTATATATACGTTATATTATATACCCAACACCTTCTCAGTTGTCGGTCAAAGTAATATACTTCAAATTACAGAGTGTTTTAAATGACGAAAATATTCAAGATTTAAAATTTCAATGACAAATTTTAAAAAATTAATTTGGGGCAAATAACAAAACCTAAATTAATGCAGTCTCCCTTTCCCATACTTATATTTGGGAAAGTTTTGTTCTCGTAATGAGAAAATAAAATTTAAAGAAGTTTGACTCCCGTGCGATAAAAATTGAATTTTAAATTTAAATTGAAAATTTAAAAGTTGTAATGTTTCATGTCATTTTCAATAAATTTGCATTGAGTGTTCGGTTAATTAAGTTAGAATAATTCCAGGAAATATGTTTAATTGAAGGGCATCAAAAATGTGAATAATTCAATAGGCCGCACTCAATAGGAAATCATGTGGCGTCCCCATCAAAACGTTTCCTCTTTGTTTTCGATAATAAACAGACTTTTGTCTGTTAGCAGTCGTCTAACTAAATTCATACTTCATCAAGAGTCACAATGTTTTCAATTTATCTCCTGCTAAATAATGTTCTTACAGAATTCTACAAACTGTTCTGCTTTTAGCCGTATGCTTCGGCGAAAGCTGATGAACATTATATTTTTTAGCTTTTTTAAATTACCAATCTTGTTTTATTATTGTATTTATCGTTGTGTCAGATGTACGAAAGACTTTGCAATTGATTCATGCGTCGACGATTTTCTTTAGTTACCTAGGATTTTAACTATAGAAACACTAAAAAGAGTAAGTGTCTTTTTCAGGTATCAGGTATTCATTTGGTGCCTTTTTCAGGTATTCATTTCCATGTAAAGTAATAACAGATGTTTTTTTTTTTTTTTCGTCGTTGCTTTCTTTCTTGCATCAATAATGTTACTTATTTTGCGCTTAGAAATTTTTATACCAGTACCATGCATTTAACAACTTTTTGAATTAAATAGGAATATTTCTTTTCAGAAAGCGCAAAAACATATCCTTCAATCCACAGCTTACATGCGAGATTCTGAAAAAGAAAATTTTAAGTATCAGACGAAATTTCTCTTTTTTTAATAATAAGCTGTAGGTCGAAATTTTTATTCCAATATGTTTATTTTTTAATTCTTTATTAAATTCGTTTTAAAAATATGTAAACACCCTCTGTACCACATTAATAAATCCAAAGTTAATAATAAATAATAATTTATCAAGAAGAAGAATTAAAAAATCCGAGTTAAAACTGAAGCTCTGATCTTCTCTCAACAAACAGAATTGTGCGTTCCCTTCAGTGGTCTTTTGGTTTGTGAAAAGCCAGTAAGTAAACTTTCCAAGCTCTAAGTTTTTCATAATTTAATTTATATCTGATAGAAAATTCTCGTGTTTTGTTTCTAAATTCAAAATTTCGCTTCTAAATCTTCTAAATTTTGGCTAAATATGCTTTGCATTTGCACTATAAATTTCTATTCACCGAAAAAAAAATTAACCAAAAAAGAAGAAAACCGTGAAAGCTTTCAGATATTATATTACACCCAAAGAGGCGCTTTTTAACGTTTTATATGTTACCTTTATTTATTAAATATCATATTCTTCCCATTTAAACCATAAAACTCAATTCAACAGCAATATCACAAAACATTTAAAAACAGATATATCTTTAGAATGTTTTTTACGGTGCTCCCATTTTTCGCTTTGAAATCCTTGATTTTTTACAAAATATGAAAGAGATAATTAAACAAATTCCAATTTGGGCTTCCAGATGTCCATATTCGAGTGGAGGACTGCGTTATTCAAAATTTGATGTCTCTAGGTACCAGTGTTTTTTCATAGTGAGAGAAACATATATACATTCATGCAGATTCTTTATTAGTTAATTTCTTTAAATACAATTTAGGGGGATAATATTTGGCGGAAACAGTTTGAAAAGTCATACAACCGTTTATAGTGACTCGATGCAAAATGCCATTTCGAGCCTAATAGCCCTTCTGGGCTAATGCTCCTTTAGAATAATAAAAATTGTGTTAGAATTGAAGCTTCTGTGTATCTAGGTCTTTTGAGCTTTCATGAGCTTTGTAACACTATTTCAAAAATTTAACCTATTAACGCAGGCCAAATGTTCAATATACTATTTATTACTAATATCGTTTTCGTTAATCCATTTTACTTAAGTTTTTTTTTTTTCCTTGTTACGGCTTCTTCTCAATATATATCTTAGGTCATTGTTTCAGGCAATTTTCTCCTCGGATTCTCGAATTTTTCCTTTGCAATGCAAATAGAAATACTTAGGCTTGGAGGTAGAGTTGGAAAACTGATTTTAATTATAAAGGTGAATATTAAGAAAAACATAAAATGTTAACTACTGGAAATAGTTAACACTGACTCAAGACTGTAAGAGAGATAAGACTCATTAAATTATATTCAGTTTTATTTCTATGTTCATTTTCTTTGTACAAACTGAATATATAGTCGAGCTCCTTTAAGCTGTCATTTAGATAACATATCATTCCGCGTATGAATAACACTTTCAGCATGTCAATCCTCATTCAAGCGCGTCCCTCCAGTGGTTGAGACAACTGAATAGTAGTATTTCAAACCCATACAAACGAGCTTGACTACTTGGTTTTCATGCTTTTTCCTCCATGACTAAGTGAAAGCGAACCAGTTTTCCTTAGAGGGTCTCTCACGAAGGCGTCCATGCTCTTAAGCAGATAATGCTCATATGCTTGGCCATATTCATATATCCTTCTACTCAATTTCATTCACAAAGCTTTGCATTTTATTTTTATTGTTATTTTGCTTTTCTGGTAAAACCGTTTAGTTTCCAAACGTTATTCATTCGATAAATTTCAGCCAAACAATTGACGGCCAATTGGGAATAAACGCATTTTTAGAAAATTTGAAATAATATAATAACTTAAATTTCCTTATTCTTCGTTTCTTTACACGCGGTCTAGTCCGTATGCTAAGCAACTGTAATGTATGTTACAATACTTGATCTCTTTTAACGTAGAATATTCATGCTCAGGATTATAATAAAAAGAAATTACTAAATCTCGCTTATAATTAATGTTCAGTGCTTTAGACACATATTTTGGAATTATCAGTTTCACAATATTTTTTCCCTTTAAGGATAATTCTAATTTATATATGGTATTGGAATACGTTTCCGGAGGTGAAATGTTTTCTCATTTAAGGAGGACTGGACGTTTCAGGTAAAAATTTCTGTTAAGCTTCATACTGCTATTAATGGATTTTTGTTTTACGGTTAAAGACAACATAGATTTAAGTTTTGTGTAACAATTAATGTAACTGTTTTAAAAACTAACACTTAAAATACAACTTTTTGCATTCTATGAATTAACGCTTTAGTATGCAATATTTTTTATAGAGATAATGTTTCAATTTTACTTAGAAATGGCTATAGTAAATGTCTAAGTAATTTCAACTATTTTCAGTCATAAAGAATTAATACATAATTCTATAATAGTATGCAAGAACTGATTTTTATTCAAACTATCTCTTTATAAAATTACTTAAATTATTGAATTAATGTGTCGATGTTTTAAGTAATTATTTTCTACTGTGAAACAAAATTATAACTTTATCAAATTCTTTCAAAATCATCCGCAACAAAATATTTGAAATAATGTGTACATGTATCTATTCTTTTAGTGAAGCTAGTGCAAGATTTTATGCCTCACAGATAGTGCTGTCATTCGAATATTTGCACTCCCTCGATCTTGTCTATCGCGATTTAAAGCCGGAGAATCTTCTTATTGACGAAGAAGGATATGTAAAGGTAGCTATAAAAGCTTTTTTAATATAGTTTCAGTTTTCGTGACCGGTCCCTAAATTATGATATATATATATATATATATTATATATATATATATATATAAGGATTTTAATCAGTCCAGCTAGTGTCATTTAAGAGGTCCAGAGTCAAGCTAGTAATAATAAAGGATGCAGAACTTCGTTTATTGCTTTTAAATCACACAGTTTGCTAATAAGTAACAGACAGATTAAATCTGAAATAAAAATTAAATATCTTACGCTTTGCCGGATAGAGTAGCGTAGAAATTATTGTATTCCGGGCATGACAATACATTTCTTTTAAATCGGCGAGTTTGTTGATTAAATCTGAGCGAAAACTACCTTACGCTTTGCCTAGTGGCAACGCATAATAGCAACAGACTCTTTTTAAATCATTGGGTGTATTAATCAAAATATTATTTAAGTGGCACAAAATATAAAACAAAATTTTTAAAAAAATATAGCAAATAAAAAAAATCTGAAAGGTTTCAGATTTTAAATTGCGTTCAAAGGAGCGTTTTTTTAACATTTTGTGTGTTACCTTTATTTATTAAATATCGTGTTCTTCGCACTTAAGCCACATAAAATTCAGTTCAAGAACAATATCGCAAAATAATTTCAAAATAAACCTATCTTTAGAATTTCCGATTCACACTTCTCCGCACTGGAGATTAAAAAGATTTTTTTTTCCCGTAGAGCCATTGCTCGCTCTGAAATCGTTCAGTTTGTTAATCAAAAATTCCTTGAAGTGTTACAAAATATGAAATCGATAATAAAACAAATTTCAGAATTCAAAATTAGGGCTTTCACATGCCCATATTCTATGGAAGATTACGTTATTCAAATTTTGATGGCTCTAGGTAACCTTTTTTTTTTTTTTTTTTTTCAAAATGCGAGAAACATATATACATTTATGCGGATTTTTGATTATTTAATGCTTTAAATATAATACAGGGAAATAATATTTTGTGGCAACAATTTGAAAAGTGAAACAACGCTTGTAGTGAATCGACGCAAAATGCCAAATCGAAATTAATAGTCCTTCTGGGAAAATTGCCCCTTTGGACTAAAAAGGTTTTGAAATTCGCCATTCAGACTTCGATGTGCACGTGTTCAGCTGGAGAACGATGTGTGTTCAATATATGGTAGGTCTATAGTGCTGCAGGTCTTTTCCAGTGCGAGAAACATACAAACAGACAGATTCCATATTATTTAGTAGTAGAGGTTATTAACTAAATTTATAAAATCGTGATTTTTATTGGAAATGTCCAAATAATTGTATTAGTCTGTAAGGATTATGTTAATTTTATTAACAGTTAAATTTTGAGTTAAACTTCCTTTCCTATTGCTTCTTAATTTCAACTTAGCACTTCCGGCCAGAACGTAGTTTTAGAATCACGTCTAAATGCTAATGAGGAAGAGCGGTATTTAACGACGAAGTTCTACAGGATACTGTCTTACAGGATACTGTCTGTATAATACAGGATACTGTCTTAAGGAGATAGATACCAGATAATCTGTCACGCGTCCGCCTTTTTAGGCTACTCCCTCGTAAGCTATGATTACGCTCGGCCGTACTTTATGCCCTTGATAGCTTCGCAGTCAATTAGCGTTAAGGGACCAACTCTGTTAGAATTTTAATAGTTTCGGCTATATCTCTTTAGCTAAGATTAGTTTAGTTTAATTCTCAGTGTCTTAAGTTGAAGCATGAGGGTCGGCTTTATTGTACAACTCCAAGACGGAGTTCTGTTAAATCTTATTTGAATAATAAAGGGTTTTTTAACCCTTTCCAAGTTTGTTCACTGTCTCACGAACTCAAGCGATTATTCGCTTTCTAGTTCTTAAGATTCTTCACTGTTAACTGTAACTTATAATTACACAGTGGGGAAAACCTATTAAAAAATTACTGAACATATTAAGCTCACAATTCAAAAATCGAGCTATTTACTTTTATAATATTGGATAGATAACAAGAGGAAAACTCAAATGCACAGAATTAAAATTAGGTTGACAGAGGTTTTCAATAAAAGGGTGATCACGTACAGGTCTCCTTTTTTAAAAAGAGATGATGAGACAAGATAATGGAATAAAAGATGAGGGAAACGGCAACACGTTTATAGGAAACTCAGTGGATGAAACAGAGAGAAAATTAACATAGAAAACTGAAAATCTAATATGTTATAATTTTGAAAGTGCTGGGACGAGACGGATTGGAATTAAAGGCATTAACTAAAATAAGTAAACTTCTGTGAATGCGAAGGTTTTAAGAAAATGCAGTTCACCAAACGAAGAAATTTTGCGCATAATTTTCGCATAGTAAGAGTCAGAATTTGGGTTAAAAGACCAACTATAATTACGTATCGAAGATTTGATTCGTTTTCCTTTTCGAACGCAGGATTCGTATTCTGTAATACGAAAATTTAATTCTCTTTTCATTTGGCCGACGTATGCCAGTTATCAAAAGTCTACTCAAATAATTAGCTATTTAATAGTAATACCTTAAAAATTTGTGTCTTGTCAAAATTAAACTTATTTCCAAGTTGCTAATGAGTAGCTTTAAATTAAATAAGCGGGATAACTAATGGCTCTGTGATTTAGAAAAGAGTGTTAAATTTTTGATAGAATATATTATTACCTTTCTAACATTGGTATACAGGTGCTTTAATATTTGCTTTATACACACTAAAATTTTCATATTCCATGCAGTGTAATCACCGGCCCCGAATAGTTGGAATGGAGGGGGAAAAACAGTTTCCTTCAGCGGTGGTTTAAACAGGACGTTTTCTAACCGAAACAGGTTCTTTGGAAACAATGACCTCATTATGGACGAGGGATATTTTACACAATGGACGAGGGATATATCTGGCAAAAATTTTTGCTGGCATCTCTATTTCGCGTAGGGTTTCCCGAAAGTACTGGCTTTAGCATAATCAGATATACCAATTAGATACCTAAAGCGAAGAGTTCCAGAAGTGTTTTTTTTTTCAGTTCACAGTCGCGGAGCGATTGATGGTCTGATAACGGAAAGTGCGAACAACACACTTCGTATGCCCGTGTTTTACAAAATTGGATTCATATCTGCAATATAGATGCATATCTGCAACATAGATGCGTTAAGCATAACATGGATTAAAAATTTATATCGTAGGTTAAAAGGTGAAGACCAGTAATTTCACTTATTAAGCATATCATCCAGTTTTTAATACAGCATACTCCTTAAGATATTCAAATTCCTAATACTTTCCGAGAAACTTTGGCAACGAGAAAGTTTACTCGTTTTTACTAATAGTTGTTAGTTGCAGATATCACACAACGCCTATTTACAGTGTAAAATACATTATCCGATGGCATGCATCAATGAATCCTTCAGAATTAGCTTCGTTGCTGTTCATAATGACTTGATCTTTGGTTATTTCTCGATAATAGTTGTTACTACGTTCAGCATTTATTAGGAATTGTCTCTGGAGAAATCCCGTTTGATTAAAATAATCGTAATGTAAAACTCATACGAAAATTTCTCTAAACAAAGCTTGTAACTTTATATACTTCTGTTCTAATGGCAGGATTAATTATTGCAAATTCGCTGAGACACAAAATTTTAAATGTTTAGTGCTTCTGGTTTACCCGTAAAATCTCCAAAACCACGTCAGTTTTCACTAAGCTGTTGATTGTCGTCAGCAAATTGATTGTCAAAGAACTGTAGCTGAAGATCCCTTAATTTTAATATTTCTCTGTGTATAAATACAAGTATTGTACTTGTATGTATTTTTAATTGTTTAATTTTAATTGTTTAAGTTTCCGATTTGAAAAGACAAGCTATTTTCTCCTTTTAATTACTCGTGTCTTTTAATAAAATAAGCTTTTTTCTTTTTCTTTAGGTAACAGATTTCGGCTTTGCAAAAAAAGTTCGAGGCAGAACATGGACGCTCTGTGGCACTCCTGAATATTTGGCCCCTGAAGTCATTCTTAGTAAAGTAAGTACACCTGAACTAATGACTCTTCTTTATCACAACTCGCTAACGGAAATAGAAGTAGCATAAGTTTCTTCTGTGCTTATGTTGCTTATTTTTAATTAAATAACGTATGTACAAATCACTAAATGTAAGTTGCAGCTAATCGGACAAAATAACGATTTAATCTCAGAAAAGTTGTAGTTAAGACATTTTTAATGTAGTTGTAAGCTCTAAAGCTTTTTTGTTGTTGTTTTTGTTTTTGAGAAATTTAACTAAACCATTCGTCCTAAAGAACTGAGCAATATTCACTGCAACCAAATTATTCTCAAAAAGCTGACTTCTATAAACCAATAACGATGGTTAGCTACTAATTTAAGAGAATTTATTAACTAACTTTACACAAGCCTGTCTTCTTATATAGGGCAAAAGAGTAATGAAGTAAACATGGTTACTTAATACTGAAATATTCTGTCTAGATTAAATACCTTGATCTTAATTTTCTGTTTGTAAACATGTGATTTCATGGATAAGAATGAATTTGCGTCGTGATAGTATGTCCAAAGCCTTTGTTTGCCGTATTATTTAGGATACGTATAACGATTTCGATTGATTCAGTATCTACTGCAAATTAACACCCACGAAGTAATATTTTCCAGTTCAAGAAATGTTCAGTTAAGTCATTAGTACTGAGATTACCAAGTATATAGACTATGCAATGATTTGGTGCCTAAATTCTGAATAGCGTACTGAGTAAGTAAAAGTGGGCAGTTTTATTGCAAAATAAAACTAGGTTTGCATTTTCTTCGTATTAGGAGAAAGTTATTACTTTTTTATATGACCTTTGAGAATTTTAGAATAATAAACACCGAATAATTTCTGTTAATCAAACAACACTGTGCTCACATCTAATTTCTTTTTCATTCACTTTTTCACATGGTAGTTGACTATCTCTGCATTAGTATGAGCCTTTGCTTTCTTGGATTAGCGAATCCATGAATGTTTCCATTAGGAGATGCGTTGTTTGTTTCTGGCTCGAAACAAAGAGAAAATAATTCCTTCCATTAAGCTACTCGATGTAGTAAGTCTGCTTATGGACCTCCGCATTTTCTGCGGTGGTTAGGAGCACCATGATTTATCTTATTTTCGCCCGAATGCAAAGATAGAACATAGTTTCTCCCCTTTTGTGCTCTAACCAGTCCCCCCTTGGTGTACCTATCGATTTAACATACATCCAGTAAGCTGGCATTTACTGCCACCTTAATGGTCATTACCTTGTATAAATGAGGTTTAAAATGCGTATGAGATTTATGTACTTTCTTTCGATATTGGTTCGATGATCTTTGAGACAATTAAGAAAACAGCGTCGAAGCTCACTGGCGACGTTTTCCACAGCTCCTGCCACCCCTCATAAATTTTTATGTCATTTAGAAATCTGGTACTGTGTATAACTCAGTAATTCTATTTAATTACTCTTCTGTTTTTATTGTACTTTTCTTCCTACGCAAACAAAATCTAATAATTTCTTTGCCTTATTTTTAAATTTTTAAGAGGTAACAGCAACAACTACAGTGAACTTTGCATAATTTTCATACAATCAAGTTAACAATGCTGAAAGAAAATTATAATTTTGATCTTTTGATATTATTGAATTAGCCGTTTTTAACATTTCTGTTTTATGCAATGCAAATCTAATTAACTTTTAAGAAGTTAGCGTTTGACTTACAGCCAAGATGAAAGGTACATAAAAATATACTATAAGATGAGAAAAAAAGCGGCCTCTTTAAATGGTTCAAAAAAAAGATTAATTGCTTCCTTATATATTTTATTCTATTAGTGCAATGAAAGTTTGTGATCATGCAATGATACGTTTTACTATTCTTTAATCATATGAAATTGTGTAGTCAAAAATTATGAAAATGAGTATTTTTTTATAAAATTGTTACAATATATAAATGGAATTTTATTGTTTCTTGTAATTTAGGGTTATAACAAAGCTGTGGACTGGTGGGCCTTTGGCGTCCTGGTATACGAAATGGCTGCAGGTTATCCGCCATTCTATGCCGATCAGCCTATTCAGATATACGAGCGGATCGTATCGGGAAAGGTTAGTAGTGACTCTTTCAAAGCTCGAATCCTATTCATGCACTTGTTAATATGAAGATATTTAAATAAATGAACTACAGATAGATCTCCACTTCATTTATTTAAATACCCTGTTACTATAAATTATTCACGGTTATTATGTCATCATTTTATAGTTATTTAAATATCCTGTTAGTAGTTAAAAACTGTTTCAAAGGGTCTTTTTACCATTGTAACAGTTTTTTAATGTTTTGCGTGATTTGGTTATTTTCTTAAAAACACATAGGAAAAATGATATTTAAAACTCCAATTGCAAGAATGATGATGCTGTGCTTAAAAAAACGTGTATACCTTATGATACTATGCGTTTCGTTAAATGGTCATTTAACTTCTCGAAATACGGTTGGCGACTTCTATGATTTTAATAAAAATTTATCTCAGATTGATTTGATTATCTTTTTCATGATACGTTATGATTTCTGAATGGGCTGATTTTTCAAAATTCGCAGGTGTGTTTTATACAGTCAGCACATGTAAATTGTCGTCAGAATAGCAAAAATCTCTCTGAAATATTATCATCTATTTATAGATGGTCAAAAATAGAAATATATTATATTGATTTAGATTTTTAGGGAAAAGTCTTTTTATAGTCGCACTTTAAGTATTATTTAAGTTAAAATTAAAGTATGCAAATGACAAATGGGCTTAATTAACAAGGTATTTTGAAATAAAATAAAACCTAAGTGTCACATTCTTAGAGTTTTCTTTTTAAATAAAGGAATTTTTTTAATAAAACTATGACTTCCAGCCTAAGAACGGGTATTTTCTTATTGTCCGCTTCCACATGAAATTTTTCACGAGACAATGCACTATGTCCCAAAAATAGGCAATCCGTAACGTAGATTTGTATTTTGTAGATTTTGAACGATATCAAATTTGTATAATTCTCTGATTTTTTAAGAGAGCATTGATGCTGTGCATATGAGGAAACCGACAGTGCCAAGTTGTGCGCAATACCGAGTTTCTTTTATTCTCTGATATTTCATATAGCTAAAACAGATAGATGTGTACATGGGGGAAAAAGGAAAAAAAGGGTTAATGTTTTACTGAAGTTTCTTGGGGTTTTTTAATTTTGTTAATTGCTTACTATTTTAAGTAATTTTTAGAATGTCCTCTATTTTTGCGAAAGTGGTTGTTTTTCGAGTCTTAGCTTGGGCGAAACATTAGTCGCCAAGGGTTGGAGACTTTTCAGGAGGGATTGTTGATAGATAGAACGTACCTTTGAATGTTACATCATGAGATATAATAAAAAGGTTTTACTCTTGTGCACTGTTTATATAGGATAGATGTTTGTACGAGTATACTATCTGTGTGATGGAGCTCTCAAAAAACACCGTGACAAACAAAATCCTTTCGAGAAGTTGATAGCAGGGGAAGAGAGCTGAGACACTCTCGGACGACACCCCAGGGCATTCTGCTTCGAAATTCTGTACCAAGCTTCGCAGTTAATAAAACCTGGCTATACCTAATATGGCTACTTAAAGGAACAGTATGGGATTCGCTTTAAACTTGTACCGGTATTATTAACATAATTTATTTCACCAATTTGCATCGCCAAAGGTTCGATTGATTCCGCACAAAATAGAGAGAACTGCTTTGGAATAGTGAGCTAAAAATCAAACTCTTAGAGAACACAATAAAACATAATGAATGACAGGGAACACTTTCTACTATGATCCCCCACGGACCACATAATTTTGTTCTTCTATGGGAATGGTCGTCTTAGAGCAGTGATACTGATTACTATACCGGTGTTCATTATCGATGTTCAATACTGGTTATTTATTTTACTAGTTACTTTCAGAACTAAAAGTAACTAGCTTCAGAAGTGACTTAGGTTATATTTTAATGCGAAATATGAAGATAATTTCAGATGTACATTTACAAGACAGAATTTTGAATTTTTCTTTTATGTGTTCACAACTTGTGGATTTATCTTATTTATAGTGAATTACTTTCTATGAATTGTAAATTTAATTAACGTTGCAATATTAATGTATGCGTATTTTTCAATATACAGGTTCGATATCCTTCCCATTTCACACCAGAATTAAAAGACCTCTTGAGAAATCTTCTTCAAGTAGATCTTACAAAGCGGTATGGCAACCTAAAGAATGGAGTAGCAGATATCAAAAATCATAAATGGTTTCAAACTACAGATTGGATTGCAATTTTCCAACGGAAGGTAACTGAAAACTGATTGCCACGTAGAAAATGGAATATTTTTTGAGAGACAATGGATACGTTATATCTGTATATAAAGACTTAACTGCTAGCTTGGAAATATCACTGCAAAAGATTTGTAATTCTATTTATTAACGAAATTTTAAAATTTGGTGATAATTTTTTGATAGACGAGGCTTTCAATTTTCTCTCAGAACAGTATTCCTTTCAAATTTCTTTTCTTTTGAGGTAATCTAATTCTTATTTATATACCCCTTTGAGAACTTCCATTCATTACATGTACCATCACTGTTTTTTCCTCATATCCTCCAATCAGAAAGTCCAGAGATCTTCTTACATGATATTTCTTCCTTGCTTTATTGATCTAAACTGATTATTCGTGCTTTCTTCCAGAACAAAAAATTCACTAGATGAAGAAATGAAAACACGTTATCTTCTCTGCATTATCTTTGTAGTAGTTATACGTACTCATAATGCTATTAAATTTTTACCATTGTTTTGAGCGCCGAATGGCAAAGTAGCCAGCATTTTATTCCTTCTTAACGATTTTGCTCTTGACTGAAATACATTATGTGGTGCAGAAAGTTTTGCAATACGAAGATTTTTTCATAGCTCAAAATTGTAATGAATATTTAGATAGATATGTTACACAGATTAGTGTGGGTCTGAATAATTCTCTTGGGAGCAGATTGAGAGGGAGAGAAAAGAAGGAAAACAGACATTTAAGTAGACTTCGCGACTTCCTGTCCTTCCATAAAAAATAATATTTTGCATTGTCTTTTGCATCATGGCAAAATTTTAGAGGCGAAAATATATTTCAGATACCGTCGACGAGAACCTTTAATCAAAGCGATGTATTTGTTAGTAGTTTCATTAATAGGCTTACAGTCAATTAGCTGTACTATGGTGCAACTGGTTGGTTTTTATCCTATATCGTAGATAAATCGAAATGCCATACGACCTTAGTTGACAGATTTAGAAATCATGTATCGCATATATATTAAAAACTCCAGCTTTGCAACAACGCGTAATAAACATCATCAGTGCCCTAACATTGGTAGAGCAAGAGTTAATTGCAGTTACTTAATTACATGCATCTTTGCATATAATTCAAGCTCCTATAGTTTAGCCTTATTCACTAGCTCCGGTATATGTATATGCAGCATACCTCTTAAATTACTGTTCTTAAGTTCTTTTTCTAGATCATTTTGTAATTAAAGCTTTTTTACTCTGTTTAAGGAATATAATTCTTGGCGTATGTATAAGTGTGTTTTCCCTTTGCGTTTAGACTAAATTTGTTTCGCATATGGTATTATAAACAGTTAGTTAACGAAATTTTGTAGTTCGCACAATTCAGCTACTGTCCTTCTACAGAGACTGAATAAAATTGTAAAAGTTTAATGATAACATGTTGATAATTATCAAAAGATTTTATTACAATAGGTATAAATGTTTACAGATTTTCAATTAAATCGTATGCATGTATATTACGAATCTGCCAAATTATTGGGAAAGCTTTCGAGCACTATCCAAGTCAGCGCACAAGGTTAGACTCTTCCAAATCTAATATTACTTACTTAGAGAAGTGGGAGAAATGAATGACTCAAAGACAGAAGTTGAAGAAATTGCTTTTGAGCAAACTAGACCTGTTACTAGTGAGTCATTTGATGCTCCGAGCGAACGCATCCTCCATAGACTGCGTAGTATTGTAATACGAGAGCTTTCTCGGATGTTATGCTACGATGACTACCGAAGAACTGACGAAGTGGGAGGAAAGATAAATTATCAGAATTCTAATGGCATATATTAGAATAGTTACAACCAATTAGTTTAAATTTCTATTTGATAATTCTGATTCAAAATTTGCCATTGTTAGTAGCCCCTCGCTTTACTTAGTCGCATATGACCAAAAATATTGCAATAACTAAACTAATTCTATCTACCTTTCAGTGCACTTTGTCATAAATGTGTAACTTAAAAAATTAATGTATGTTTTTTTTCATTGGCATTTACGAGATTAATTTTATCCGATATAATTCTGCAAATATTTTCCTGTTCGTTTCAGCAACTCATTTCATTTCAAAGCATTCAATTAATTTAGCATAACAGCACACATTGCTTTCTAAGTAATAACTTACACGCTATAAATTGAACTCTTTTAAAGAAGCTCATATACTCAGCCACTTCTATATTTTTACTTACGAAAACATTTCATTTTCTTTAACCGCAGTTTCCTCACATAACCCATATCCCCCTACCGGTGGATGCTGAAGAGTTCTTGAGGAAACGACTGGGCGTTATTGAACAATGAAAGGCACATTGATAAGCAAGAAACAATGCGCAAATAAGAACACGTTTGTAAAATTTGTTTACTCTAATACTTTTAAACAAACCTTTAAATATTCATTTGATTACATATTGGTTACATAAATATTACAAGCATTCATTCTCGCAAGAATCATACCAAATTGATTTTTCAAATATGATCAATTCAATATTTCAAATATTTAAATATTTCAATTCCCTCAGATAGATAATCTTCGCACGCTTTACCATAATTAAATAAACCAAACCTAACTTTCAACTGATACCACTGAGCGTGACATAATAGGAATCTGTGCTTGTTTCGTTAGGTTCGTTTTCAGGAGTGTTTTGAGAAGTCTTTAATTGTTACTATTCTGTGTTCTTATTGCATGATGAGTTTTAATTAATAACTTTATGAAATACAGTAACTGCTTAAAAATCTTTAAATATTTCAAATTTTTGCCGGTCGGTTACATTCTAAAGATATCTAATTGATAATTATTGTTGCAAAAGGGAAGGGGTGTTATAAAGAAGCAAATAAGCAAACAAAACCTCGAAAACAATTGGGAAACTATGACCTAAATTTTGAGTTTTATTTTCTGAAAGTCGATATGTGTTCTTAAATTTTTTACAGGAAGAAGCGCCTTTCATTCCTACATGTAAAGGTCCAGGAGACGCCAGTAACTTCGATCCATATCCTGAAGAGCCCTTATACATTGCATCGAGCGAAAAATTTGCTAGAGAACTCGAAGAATTTTAATTCCGGAATTCACTCATTTCAGCTGTGCGCCGATGAAATTCCGATAGTTTTTTTGTATCTTTGATAGGCTTGAAAATTTTTATACAATATTTTAATATTCTAACCGTTATTCGAAAACTAGGAAAAGAGAGCATGTCAAACTTTTCCTCAAAGCAGTATCTCCTGTGCTCTTCGTAACTGAATTTACATTTAGTTCTTAGTTGCAGATTCACAAAGAACTGAAACGGCGTTTTAAATTTATTTTTCGCATACTTTGATGAATTTATTTGTAAAAATACATCTGCAAAATACTTAGTAATAAAGCAATATAAAATAATGCCTTAATTAAAAGATATCTATTTGCAGCTGTTATAAAATTTAATGCAATTAATTTTACTTAAATATTTGATACAAAATTTAAGGCAATTATTTCTTATTAAAAATGTTTATAGAGAATTTGATGCGTTTTTAATGCTTTTATTGTTATTGCTCTGATGTTTTGTTCGAAGTATCATGTAAACACATCTGTAGCTATTTAATTTAATGCAGTAAAATCTCTCGTATCCAGCATACGTAATTTTCCTTAAAGCAGTATCTCCTGATTTTACGTAATGCAGTAAAATCGCTCGTATCTCGTTAACTGGAAATCTCAAAATAACGGAACTTTTAAAGGTCTAAGTTTAAATTCGAAATTTAAGAGTGTGATATTAAAAAAAAGTATGTAATGGCCTTAAACTTTGAAGACTTAGCTGTGGAAAACTTTCTTGTATTATTTTCTGCCACCCAGCGTAATCCAACTAATGAAGTTTCCTGAATGTAAAAGATGAACTACAAATCTCTTTTTCTTCATCGATCTAATGAAATTTAAAGGTATGGCCTATGACTTTTAGAAACAGTTCACACTGAAAGACGCCATATTTACTTTGACTGTTGTCTGGAAAGATGTAAAGAACACTTTGTTGTTGGTGTAAATTGTGGCCGATGATCTTGTTAGTAGAAAGTGGCGAAGATTCTTTTTTAAAATACACCCGGCGTCCGTCCCCGATGTCTTGGGTTTAGTTACATATTCGGAGAAAATTAATATCAATGAAAAGGAGGTGCAGACTTGGATGTATATAGACAGTTATATTTATGTCACACTCTCTCAGAATGACGAAAACATAATCAAAAATATACTGGTAAAGGAGAAAAATAGTAAGGAGAAGTGGGGTTGATGAAATTGAAGAATAATAATATAAGAGTGTTATGTGGAAGGAAGCTGATCAAGAATTGCAAATTTTCATAAGATTTGCCAAGCAATGATTGTCTGTGTCAGTATATAATGCTGTAAAACTGCTCTGTATACATAACGAAATTTTAAAATTCCGGCAATTATTTCTTGAGTAGACAGATATTCAATGTTATATGACTGGTTGAACTTCCTGTACCGCCATTAGAGACTTTACAGGGCTTAGTCGAGCTATTTAATTAAAGAAACATTGAGATCTAAAACAAGGCTTAAATCAGTCCCATTAAGCAGTAGAACTACCTTACTACCTGAAATAACTTAAAATAGAATAATTAAACTAAAATATGAATTTAAAGTCTGGGAGCTGGGGAGATTTACCAGCTACACTAACAAAAGCACATTATTACATACTTTGTAAAATATAACACATGTTACTTGCATGCATAAAAATATGTTACTTACATATACAAAAAGTGAAATAACAGAATATCATAAACATTCTAGTTTTCCTTTAAACAGACAGGGAAATTTTAAAAACAATCAATATATAAATTCATTTCATTTACAGATACATATTTTATGAAATTTGACAATTTCAATTTAGTCACTATATTTTACATAGATCCTTTAGAGTATTGAATTTAGCAATATCTGGAATAAATCTTAGAACAATATTTTTCATAGAAGAGCATCTAAACAACAGGTGCTCAATATCGACATTACTCATGCCACATAGACAGGCACAATTTTTAATCGAAAACCTGTTATAATAAAAGGGAAAGTGTCCATGATTAGTTAAAGCTTGGTTTAGATACTTGTCACTTAGGCATCTTTTCTCACAATTGAGATTAAATTATAAGTGAATCTTCCTTTAGAATCTGGTTCGTTCCACTTTGCTTGCCATAGAGTCAAACTTTTCTTTTCAACAAGGATTTCAAACTTTCAAAAGATCTCTTTACTTCAAAATCAATAATTTGATTTTCAGTGGCAGCTTTTGCCAATCTATCTGCTAACTCGTTACCAATGGTACCAATATGACTCTCCAAAAGAGTTTAATTTATCTGAAAGCGCAAAGAAAAAAGAGCATGTCTTTTATCTGTTTAATTAGATCGTTACTTGGAAAAACACCCGTAATTGAAACAATTGCACTTTCGCAGTCACTATAGATTTCTACAGGATCTATTGCAGAATTAGAAATAAGCCAATACAAGGCCTCTTGCAGGGCCCCTAACCCTGCCTGATAGACAGAGGTATTGTCATAAAGTCTATGTTTCCTTTGTAAGCTTAGTTTCTCATCTGAAAACACACAAAAGGCTGCCCCACATGACCATTTAATTTAGATACATCTCTAAAAATCGTGTAGCCTTTCATATTGGGAAGGCCTTTATGCCAATTCAACCGTTTATGCCAATCCAACTAATGAAGCTGGATCCAATGTCTAAACCTTTTTTCAAAGTCAAACTCTTTAGCTGAGAAGATCTCAAACAATCGACAGTTTTATTAGCAGCTTTTAATTTAAAGATAGCATAGGATCTTTTTTATCCTTTCTTTCTTTGTTGAACAAAACCAAATCAGCCTCTTTCCAACATTCAGGAAAAATTCCCCTCCGAAGACATTCATTCAGAATAGCTACAAAGAACTTTTTATTACATTCAAAGATTTCTAAAATAATATCCATTGTCAGGCCATCTTTACCCGGAGCTTCTCCTTTATTTAACTTTTTAAGAGTAAATTCCACTTCATCCAAAGTAAAATCATAATCATTTACGGTCTCTGGAGGTATATCTGAGAGGCAATCTGATTGCTCCAGAGATATAAGAGGCAATCTGATCTATATTGATAATGACATGCTAGATCACCATAAGTAGTATCACAAGGAAAGTGATATTGTAGGAGGTAATTTACTGTCTCGTCTATAATTTTAGTATAAAACCCATCTTGATATTTCAAAGAGGAAATTTGTAAAGCTGGTTTATATTTATTAACAGCAATATAGTAAGGAATGCCTAAAAGCTGATGAATATTCAAAGTGTCACATAGTTGTTCCTAAGCACAATTTTTACTAATGTTGATTTCTGGTTTATATTCAGATAATTTCTTCTTATATTGAATCTTTAACAAATTTTTCTCTGTACGATTGTAACATCTCTGAAATTTTCTTCGATACAGTCGAGTTTGACTTCTTAAAACAGCCAGTTTTTCAGACCACGAATGCATCTGTTTACCCAGAGAGTTGCTCTGTTTAAATTTGTTCATCTTCTTATTTTTCTTACAGATATCTATTATTGAGTTAGTAAGATCTTTAATATAAATATTTAAATCAGAAGTATTTTCTAAATTTTCTTCGGAAACTTGATTTATAAAGTTATACAGTTCTGCACGAACATATAGCCAATTCAGATCCCAAATATAGAAACGTTCAAATTTCTTCTCTCTAAGTAAGTTGTTTAAAAGTCCAATCTCAATGTAGCGATGATCGCTACATGATATATCCATAGAAACAAACCATTTCAAGACAAAAGAATATTTTACAATGGTAAGGTCTATCCAGCTTTCGCCTCTGGCACCAGAAAACGTAGCCGGGCTATCAGGACTGTTAAAGAACAATCAAATTGTTTGACGAGCAGAATTCAATTATAGCGTCACCTTTTGGATCTATTGAGTGATAATAGGGAACTCTTGGCATTGAAATCTCCGCAAATAATTATTTCCGAGTCTTCATGCGAATCAATAATACTGTTGATACAATATAAATAGTCATTCAAGGCATCATTAGGAGGCAATACACTGATATAAAAACTATGTTTCTATTATTAATGATCATTTTGATAGCCACTATATTCGTGGAAGCATACAAAAGCACTGCTGAAAAGCTGTCAAACAGAACGATTGCCACTCGTGGATAATTTTTGTCACAAAAAGTTCGAAATTTCATCTGGATTCCCCGAACTTTATTATCCACTACATAAGGTTCTTGGATCAAGGTTATATTATAGCCTCTTTCAATAGTTTTACTATATAATTGATTTACAGCAGCTTTGGCGTGATGTAAATTTATTTGAACCATTTTAATGTATTCGTCATTTCTACTAGCCATAATTAGTACGAATGAGACAATTTTTATCTAAACTGGAATAATCAACGCTAAGCTTCAATTTATCCTTTTCATTTGCCTCTTTGCAATTAATATGTACATTTTGGAGTAGCTTTACATTCCCAATGTTTATGCCCAGCTTCACCACACTTAGCACATATTTGCGGTTCTAGGCATTTTGTTTGAAAGTGCCCATACTTTGAATATTTAAAACATTGAGTTACTTTCAAAAATTCTTTAATTCTAAGACGAGGCCATCTTATGTTAAGTTTTCCTGCTTTTATAAGTTCTCTATATTTCTTAGCATCAACACTGGCCACCCAATGTACTTTGTTTTTTCTACCTTTTATCGAAAATGTTAAGTCAAAACCACCTTTTCAAAGACTATATTTTGGTTCGCTAATCATAATTTAGATCATCTCGAGAAAGATCAGAATTTGCATCAGAAATAGTAATTTTTGGATCTTTCTTAACAGGACGTTGAATTGCCATATCGTTTCTAAACAAATCATTTGAATTAACCTCTATTTCCAAAGCTTCAATATCAGAGGACATTGAAGCCTTGGAAGTAATAATTGGAACATTCTATTAGAAGACCTCCTTTATTAATTTTTCTTAATATTCTTTTAACACCAAAGTGTAACTGGGTGGGATTAATTGAGTTTACAATTTTGTTTTTGACCTCCTCGGAAGTAGTTCGTTCCGTTTTTGGATAGAGTAGAACTGTGAATTTTTCGGATCTATTTCTACTAGTAGATCTATCTCGTATTTTCTGTATTTTCTGTATGTATTTTTATTTTCTGAGGAAAGCGTTTTGGATCTGCCACTGCTGCAAATTAAAGTGGCTGAAAATTCGATAACATTTTTGTTTGCTTTTTAAGCCTTTCCTTAAGGATGGCATTATCAAAAGTTTGTGTAACCAATAAATCATAAACTTGATATGTCATAGAAATAATTTTTCCTTTTGAAATATTCCTGACTCTACTTGAGTCTAATACAGTTTCTAAAGAACTTAAAATTGCTCGTCCGTCTGCTAATATAGCATT